AAAAAAAAAAGTTTTATATATAACATACATAATTCAAAAAGCTTTTTATTATAGAAAATTCAAACATGTAGAAATTTAAAAATAGGCCAGGCATGATAGCTCATGCCTATAATCCCAGCACTTTGGAAGTCTGAGGTTAGAGGAGTGCTTGAGGCCAGGAGTTCATGACTAGCCTGGGCAACATAGTGAGACCCCACCTCTACAAAAAATTAAAATTGTGTCTATCTAGATAGTCCCAGCTGATTGGGAGGCTGAGGACAGAGGATCACTTGTCTTCACATACAAAAAAATAGTATAATGAATCCCCATGTACTATTACCCAGCTTCAACAGTTAATGTTTTTCATAGCTGGAATTCTTGACTTACATCCTTGGTCCAATTCTTGACACTGCAATTATCTGACTTCAAAAGGTGGTACCCCTGTGGTCACTTTGATTCACAGAAGAGTTTCTAGGTGAACTGTGTTGGTTACTACATTGATAAAGTCTCTGAGGATTTTTTTTAAAGATAAAGAGTTACTGCTGATCATTAAACTGTTTTAGGATAGCAATTACCTGATGTTTCAAAGAGCAATTTAGAACAAAACAAACATTTGAATCCTGGCTCCTTTTTACTTTATAAAAAATATAATTTTTAAGAGTTAAAATCATAATTATTATAAAGGTACTATTAAAAAGTTACTTGGCACACAGACAACTTAAGTTGTGGAAAAACAAAAAATAAAAGTTACTTGAAATAATTGTCTTTCATTTTGATTTCTGTTACCATCTGATATTAGTTAGGTTCATATAATTAGGTTCATTTGTTTACATTTATTTTCCGTTTAGGGGTTTGGAGTATTTTCTTTTTTATTTTTTGAATATGAAAATACTTGTACAAAAGTCAAATTATGTGGAAATGTATACTCAGAAGCCTAGCTTTCATCTGTATCTCCTTACCCTCATCCCCATAAGTAACAATTATTATTGGTTTCTGTTTTATCTTTCTAATTTTCTTTTTGTGAAGATATAAAAAACTCCTATATATTTGTAACCCCATTTTAAAATAAAAATTAGCATACTATGTATACTGTTCTGTACCTTGCTTTTTTAACTTAATGCAGCCTGGAGGTCATTCCATATCAGTACACAGATTTCCTCTTTTTTTTTTTTTTTTCCTGAGGTAGAGTCTTGCTCTGTCGCCCTAGCTAGATTACAGTGGCATCATCATAGCTCACTGCAACCTCAAACTCCTGAGCTCAAGCGATCCTCCTGCTTCAGCCTCCCAAATAGCAAGGTGTGTGTCACCATGCCTGGCTGATTTTTCTATCTTTTGTGAAGACAGAGTCTTGCTCTTGCTCAGGCTAGTCTTGAACTCCTGACCTCAAGCAATCCTCCCATCTTGTCCTCCCAAAGTGCTAGGATGACAAGTATGAGCCACTGCACCGTGACCGCAGTCCTCTGTTGATGGACACTTGAATTTTTCTCTGTTCATTTACTATTCCAAATAATGTTGCAGTATGGAACCTTGTGTATGTGTTATTTTGGTTTTATGGTTTTATTTTGGTTTTAGAGTAAATTCCTAATAGTAGAATCACTGGCACAGAAGGTGAATGCATATGTAATTTTGTTGTATTTACCAAATTTCCCTTCATAGAGTTGTAACCATAGAGATTAGCAGGGCATGAGAGTACTTGTTCCTCCGCAGGTTTATGAAGAGTGTGATGCACCTGTGTAATTCCAGCTACTCGGGAGGTTGACGGGGAGGATCTCTTGAGCCCAGGAGTTTGAGGCCAGCCTAGGCAACATAGCAAGGTCCTGTATCAAAAAAAAAGATAGTGTTGTCAAACTTAAGGATCTGGTAGGTAAGGCAATGGTATCTAAGGGTAGTTTTAATTTATCCTCTGATGAATAAAGTTAGGCATTTTTTTATGTTTAAGGGTGAGTTTCCCTTTCTGTGAAGTTCATATCTTTTGCTCATTTTTCTTTTTGATTTTGGTGTTTTTCCTCTTAATTTTTAGATCTTTATGTATTTGGGAGACTAACCCTTTGAGATATGATTTACAAGTATTTCTCCCAGTTTGTCACTTGTCTTTTGACTTAAATTATGGCAATTGTTTTTGGGTTTTCCATGCAGTTTCTTTTTATGCACTTAAATCTATCAATTTTTTTCCTTTAAAAGCTTCTGGATTTGGGATTATAGCTGGAAAGGCTTTGCTCACTCCCAGGTTACAAAGGAGTTTACATATTCTCTTCTATTACTTACATGGTTTCATTTTACTACTATTAGATCTCTGATTCCTTAGTATTTTATACTGGTACGTTGTGTGAAGTATGGATATAATTTAATCTCTTTCAAATGGCCATCAACTTATCCCAACATTCACTAAAAATTTTAACTTTTCCACCCAGTGATTTGAGGTGCTACCTTTATCATGTATTAAGTTTTCATGTGTTTTGGACCTCTTTCTGCTATTTATATTCTGTTCCATTGTTCTTGCATTAGTATCCCACAGTTTGAATTATATAGACATTATAATATTTTAATATCTGGTATGGCTACCTTCCCTCCCCAAATACTCCTTTTTGCAGATTTTCCTGGATATTCTTATTTGTGTATTTTTTAACATAAACTTTATTTTTACCTTATCTAGCTCTGGAAAAAAAATAACTGGTATTTTTATTGGGGAAAATTGATGTCTTTATGATGTTGAGTCATCCAGGAACATGGGATTGTCTTTCCATTTATTCAAGTCTACTTGGTTTTTTGTCTTTCAGAGTGCTTTTTATTATATATAATCTATATATAATATAGATTTATCATTCCATATCAGTTCCTAATCATACCCCACTAATCTGTATGGTTAATAACCCTCTATGGAGGGAAATTTGATAAATATAACGAAATTACATATGCATTCATCTTATGTGCCAGTGATTCTAATGGGACTCTAAGATGCACTTTCATAAAATAAAAAAAATACATACACAGGTTCTATACTGCAACATTATTTGGAGTAGCAAATGACTAGTATGTATTATTAAGATATA